AATGTCATCTTTGGTCCGTTCCTCTCCTTTCTGGCTCTATCTACCTTTCTGAGGTTGGCTTCTACCAGCCTGATTTACCCTACCCTTCTCTTGGGCCAACAAATGCCCCCCACCATTTTTGGTTTGCTATTGATGGCATTGATGATCACAACTCTTATCCCAGGAGGTTGACCTATGACTCTCCATGGCCAGAGTCTCTGCTGATCAGAATTCTATTGCCCAGTGGGAATAAATGCTGACAGCAGGAGTGCCAGGTAAAGCAATAAGACTCTGGCTGGATCTGGACATGCCCAGGGTGGCACTGAGAGACCCAGGACTTCACATCAACCAGGCATGGGATCTTTCCTGCCTACTGTGACCCATGGAGGCTAAGGAGGGCACAGTCAATTGGGGTCAGGCTCAATGACTGAAAGTATAAGGCAAGAGACTGTAAGAAGATCAAGGAAGGGACATCTGTTGGAAAGTGTGTTAATGCACAGGACTGTCGGTTTCACGGCATGTAAAAGGCATGTGTACGTGGGTGGGGTATGTTGCTGTAGGGCTAAATAGCACCTGATCTTTGGGGGAGTCGATATGATGCTTCTCAAGTAGGACTGCCATATTTAGCAAACAAAAACATGATACTCAATTACATTTGAATTTCAGATAAATCATCTTCTTGTATAAGTATATCCCATGGGGCATATTTTATCTGAGATTAGAATTTAATCATGCATCTTGTCTTTTACTGGCAACTCTGTTTTCAAGGATACTTTGTAGCAGGGCGGGAACTAGGGTGAAATAATCAAGCCATTCATCTCTAAAAAACTCAATCAAAAGAAATCATATTTTAATGCAATATTCTAAAAAAAAAAAAAACCAAGTTAACAAACTACAGCCCATGAGCCATCTATAGAAATGAAATTTAATTGGAACTAGGGGCAGGATAAGGGTAAGGCCAGAGAGGCCAGCTCCTGCAAGTGCAGGCTCTGGTTCTGACTTTAAAAGGTTATTGATCAGCTGGGAGCATTGGCTTACGCCTGTAATCCCAGCAGTTTGGGAGGCTGAGGCGGACCGATCACCTGAGGTCAGGAGTTCGAGACAAGCCTGGCCAACATGGTGAAACCCCATCTCTACTAAAAAAATAATAAAATACAAAAATTAGCTGGGCATGGTGGTTGGCACCTGTAGTCCCAGCTACTTGGGAGGCCGAGGCAGGATAATTACTTGAAACCAGGAGGTGGAGGTTGCAGTGAGCTGAGATCACACAACTGCACTCCAGCCTGGGAGACAGAGCAAGACTCCATCTCAAAAAAACAAAACAGTTGTTTATTAGGGACTTTTAACATGAATTTTTATTTCTAAACAATCGCATCAAAATATTATTTATATCGACTATGGGGATTTTTGAGGCCCCCTTAAATTTTGTGCTTGAAGTGGAAACTTCAAGTGTGTAACCAGTAGTCCAGCCCTGGTTTTCAGGGTGGAGGTGGAGGCAAAGGCATCAGGGAAGTGTCCAATGAAGCAAGGATTGATTTTTTGGTGTCCAGATTGGTCGTAGCTCAATCACTAAAATATATGTCTATTTTTCTCCTTTCTGCAAATATCCCTGCCTCAGCTCATGAGCCAATTAGCTCCTAGAAAGCTGGGGTCATCTCGTATTCCCAGCACAGAGCTGGCGCAGAGCAGGCGCTCCCCACACATTCCTCGAATGAGAAGGCACAGTGGCTCTCAGGAGCCTCAGATGCTGCCAGGAGTAAGTGATCCAGGACCCCACCACTAAGAGGAGAAACTTTTTTTCAAAGCATTTATAAATACTCCCCCCACCCCTCACTCCACAAATGGGGTGGTCAACACGTACTGTTTGCTCTTGTTCTGCTCATGATTAAAACAAGTTTATTTAATTTGATTTGCATTTTGTTGGTTTTTTTAATATTTGTTTTTCGACGGAGCTCAGGGTCTCTCCCACCCCCAAAGAATGTGATTACTGGCCAGAAGTGAGGAAAAGGGCTTTGGTGTTTAGCCGGGGTTCTGGGTGTTCCAATAGCTTAAATTTGGCCTTAGGGACCAGAGGAGTGGTCAGAGGGGTAGGGGCCAGACGCAGAGGTCAGAAATCAAAAGAATGGAAGGAGCGTGTCTCCCCTTTTATAGAAGACCCCTTGGTCACTCAGCATGCCTGCTGTTTTGAAGATCTAGCCTCGTGGTTCTCAAGCCTGGTATTACAATCCCCTGGGAAGCTTTTTATTTTTATTTATTTTTATGTATTTGGTTTTTTTCAGACTGAGTCTCACTCTGTTGCCCAGGCTGGAGTGCTGTGGCATAATCTCAGCTCACTGCAGCCTCTACCTCCCTGGTCAAAGCGATTCTCCTGCCTCAGCCTCCCAAGTACCTGAGACTACAGGTCTCATGCCTCAGCCTCCCAAGTAGCTGAGCCACCATGCCCAGCTAATTTTTTTGTATTTTTGGTAGAGACGAGGTTTCAACGTGTTGCCCAGGCTGGTCTTGAACTCCTGACCTCAGGTGATCCGCCTGCCTCGGCCTCCCAAAGTACTGGGATTACACGCATGAACCACCTCACCTGGCCCCTTGGGGAGCTTTTTAAAAAGGCCGATGATGGGGTCCAACCCCAGAGATTCTGATTGAAAATGGTCTTAATAGACTATTGCTTTATCTATTAAGACCAATGGTCTATTGAGACCATTGTGCATTGGTATTTTTACAAGTTCCTGAGTGATCTTTTTAAAATGGTGGCAAAATACTTATAACATAAAATTAACCACTGTAGCCATTTTAAATGTACAGTTCAGTGGCATTAAGTACATTCTTACTGCAAGCATCACCACCATTCATCTCCAGGACTCTTTTCATCTTCCCGAACTGAAACTATATCCATTAGACAATAACCTCCCATTCTTCCCTCCCCTAGCTCCCGGTAACTTCTTTCTGTCTCTGTGATTTTGCCCTATTCTAGATACATCAGCTATAAGTGGAATTGTATAGTATTTATCCTTTTGTGACTGGCTTATTTCACTCACCAGAATGCCCTCAGGGATCATCCACCTTGTAGTGTGTGTCAGAATTTCCTTTTTTAAAATGCTGAATAATATTCCATGCATACCACATTTTGTTTATCTGTTCATCCATTGAGGCACACTTGACTTGTTTCCATGTTTTGGCTTTGTGACTAATGCTATTGGTAGGGGTGTATAAACATCGAGTTTCTGCTTTTAAATTTTTGAGTATACCTACAAGCGGAACTACTGAATCATATGGTGATGCTATATTTTTCCCAACAGCTGTGCCATTTTATATTCCCACCAGCAATGCACGAGGGTTCCAAATTCTTCATGGCCTTGCCAACATTCATTTTCCATTTTTTTTAAATGATAACCATTCCTAATGGCTGTAAAACGGTATCTCATTGTGGTTTCGATCTGCATTTCCTTAATGATTAATGATGTTAAGATCTTTTTATGTACTTGCTGATTGGTCTCTTGCAAGTCTTCTTTACAGACATATCTATTCAATTCTTATCCCAGTTTTCAACTGGATTGTTTAGTTTTTGTTGTTGAGTTGTAGGAATTCCTTTTTTTTTTTTTTTTTTTTTGAGATGGAGTTTCGCTCTTTTGCTCAGGCTGAACTGCAGTGTCACTATCTTGGCTCACCGCAATCTCTGCCTCCTGGGTTCAAGTGATTCTCCTGCCTCAGCCTCCCAAGTAGCTGGGATTACAGTCATGTGCCACCATGCCCAGCTTATTTTGTATTTTTAGCAGAGGTGGGATTTCTCCATGTTGGTCAGACTGGTCTTGAACTTGTGACCTCAGGTGATCTGCCCACCTCAGCCTCCCAAAGTGGGTCTGGTCCTCTCCATCCCTCTGCCTTTTCCCTGGTCCAGACCACCTGGGTGGCTACAAAGGCTTATTCGTCAGGCTTTGAATAAGCCCCCAGTCACTATTTATTTTAGCTTGCTGGAGGCTTCTCTCACAGACATAAACCCCTCCTACTTTTGACTACACGGTGGCACTACTACGCCCACGGTGAAGCTCCAAGTGCTTACCACCATGGGCTGCAGGGAAGGCCTTGGGAGGTCCAGTCCCCGCCCACCTTTTAGGTTCAGCTCACACTTTGCCCTCGCTCCTCTTTCTACCCAGCCACCATGACCTTCTCCTAGAACTTGAGATAGTTGTTCGTGCCTCATTGGCTCTGTGTTGGCCACCTTCCGTTTGAGATTTCCCCACCCCAACCCTGTCCCCAACCTCATGTGCAGTAGGTCTGAATCAAAATGTCCCTTCATCAGGGATGTGGTCCCTGGCCTCCCCCCCGCCCCGACAAGTCAGCCCCTTCCACTGTGTCCTCCCCCGGTGCTCTACACGTCTCCTTGGTAACCTGGGCCATTGGTCATGGCTCCTTCCAAGTCCATTGTCTGTGCCCTCTGGACCGTGAGCTCCATGACAGCAGGACCGGGTCAGGTTCATTGGGCACCAGAGCAGCCCAGCCTAGGGCCGCCATTGCCACACAGCCTTGTCTTTGGGGTGTGGCTGACAGAAATCATTTCCTTTTCCAGTTGAAGGATGACCAGCAGCTGCGTGCCCAGCTCCACTTGCGTTTATTGGAAACTGCTTACCCAGCACTCCACAAAGGAGCTTACAGCGGGGTCACACTTAGGACTCCTATGGCCTAATCCTGCGATTAGCACAGAGCCATGGGCTGGTGGGCAGAGGGAGGGACGGGATGGGGGATGGTGGGAGGGATGCTGAAGACCCAGGAAGAAGGAACCAGTGGGCCACTACAGATGCTTCAGTTTGGCAGGGAGCTGTGCTGTGGGCTTGTGTGCAGGCCTCTCTCTTGGCCCTGGGGTGGATGTGTGCATGTATGCATGTGTGTGCGCATGTGTGTGTGCATGCGTGCGTGCGTGCGCGTGTGTGTGTGCGTGCAAGCGTGTGCGTGTGCATGCACACACACACACGCTCACAGGTGTCATGTGAGCAGTGAGAGGAGGGAGGATAGCAAAGCAGTTGGCATCAGGGGTTCTTTATCTTTTCCCTCACTTTTTGAGGCTCGAACTGGATCAGTCGCAGAATTTCCTTATTGGCCAGGGTTCCATCAATGAATTCTTTCTCTGTAAGTTTATCTGTGCATTGGGAAAAAACATATGCATATATAAACAGTCAGGATTGATAGCCAAGCAAACTGCGATGAGGCTGACATCCAGCCAGTATCCCCAGTGGGAATGTACCTATTATGAAAATATTGAATACTCAGTGGCCCTGTGTATTCAATAGTCCCCCACCCCAGTCTGGATACCCACCTCCTTTCCCAAGACCCTTGGAGCTCCCTGGGAACCAGCAAAGAGAGGTGAATAGACTGGCACTGGAGGGGCCCCCAGGATGCCAATCTTGTGTTATGTTCCTCTTCCAATTGGCCGGTGCCCCTGCCTTGCTGGTTATTAAATACTTCAATAATTAATAATAACTATCAATTGTTATTCTATTGTCAATATTAGCTCAAGTTTCAAGGACCAAGTTCGGGGGGAGCTTCTGGGGGTTGGAGCAAAGCAAAACAATCTGGATGTCAGACCCAGAATCTCAGCTGAGAAGCAGGGAACAACATCCCCCCAGAATAGGAGTGAGAAACGAGCGGTCCAATGAAATCATGTGAGGGGGAGCATGGCTTGCAGAGAGAGGTCTCTTTGGCACCTGCAGCACACAGGCACCCCATGATTCCTGGAGGCCAACTCCACCATGATCCCTTCCTATGCATCCATCCCGATGTCCCCCAATCTCATCTGACTCCTTATTTGGGATTGGGACTGAGAGACAGCCTTGTTCCAGCCACAGCCAGTTTCCTGGTGTTTTTGTCAGGTGGCTTACTGTATTCAGATCAGTCCAGTGACATGCATGGTACTCAGCCCAGATGCCACAGTGCTTGGAGCCAAGGCCACCGCAGGGAGCAGAGGTGGGTGTACAGGGAGCAGAGGTGGGTGTACAACAGAAGAGAAGGAGAAGTCTCTCCTTGGGAAACTCTTGATATGGCAGGGAAGGCAGTCACACACAGAAATACCTCCAGCATGAAACAGATGCTCCTTTTTGTTGCATGCTGACGAAGCCTATCACAGAGTTGGTGTCAACGAGCTTTGATGAACTGAATGTGATTTCTACCTTCTCCACTGGGCCTTTCGGATACCCTTAACCTCTTCTGGGTTAGGATCTCTGCACAAGCCTGGGTGGTAAATTTTGGGTTTTAACATCCCAGCCACCCCACGGAGAGTTCAGAGAGTTTGAAACTCCCGCCATCAAAGCCTGAATCTGCTGTGAGGCATTATCTCCAGATGGGCCACATGGAAACACGTACAGCACGTCACTCGCAGGAGTGACCTCTGACATCCTCCCCTCCTGGGACATTCGCGGGGGCAGTTTTCAGATGAGCAAATAGCAGAACACAGGGTTCAACACATGAACAGACCCAGAGGGAAGGTCACGAAGGCAGTTCAGGAGCCAGTGGGGTGAAGTGCCAAAAGAAGGCACCTTGGCAGCCAGGGTCTGTGCAAGGAGGAGAAAGTGCTCAAAGGAGAGGTGCCAATCAGGGCCGATGAGCTAAAGGTGGGTAAAGTAGCAAGGCAGGAATTTAAGGAGGCCCTCACTTTCAGGTCCTGTGAGTGCACTGTTGACCCCTGAGAATGAGCGCCTCCTTAAATTCTGTGTCCTATGTCCCTCCTACCCCAATGACCTTCATGCTTCTCCGCTTCCATCATTTGTGGGCAGATTAGGAGGAGCAAGGTCGTCTCTCTCTGCCCTTATTTAGCATCCTGCTGAGGTTTTTCTTCTTGAACCTGACTGACTCCAGAGGTCACCAAAGGGGTTAATACAGGATCCTTGGATGTGTTTGGGCCATGCTGTGTTTTATCAATTGAGACACACTGGATTTTAAAAATCTCCATGGATGGCTTCTCTTAAAAAACAAAAAATCAGATGATGTCTCAACCATGATCGGTGCCATATTCCCAGGTGGAATATGCTGGAAGCCATCAGACCAGAGGTGGACCCTCTGCTGTTTGCCAATCCCCACGGCTTGTAGGTTACTGTCACTCATTTTCCTCATTCCCGCCCCTCCAGCCATATGCGTTTGCACCCCCAGCATAACACTAGCTCCTCTGCCACATCCTTCCTGTGCTGGCTGTGAGCATCACAGATGCCCAGCCCCAGCAGCCCAGGGCTGGAACCCATCACGGCCCTCAATGCTGGACTCTGCTTCCCGAGGGCTGCTTCCAGCCACTGACTGACAGGGGCAATAAGGACACCCCATCGACTCTGTCAACACTTCCCCAGAATGCACCGAGGTCTCAGGCACTGCTTCCCTAACCTTTCTTTCTTTCCCTCCCTCCCTGCCGGGGGATCAGATCTGCAGGGCCCTCGGATGGTTTTCCCAGCCTCCTCTAGATCCCTCCCAGTTTCCCTTCGTCAGCCTTCCCTGCATAAATCTCTTGCAATCTCATTTAAATCTAATCCTAACTTGGTGGTGTTTCTCAGACGACCCAGACTAACTTCCCAAAGTAAAACCACATACGTTTAGGTCCCACTGACTTGAAACTTGATATCAATTTAAAGTTAGGGTGAGTTGAAGTTTGCTCTTGTTCTAATTACACAGAAAACATTTTTGGCCCCTGCTCACCCTTAAGGCCATTCCCCCATCAAACCCTTCAGACAGTTCTGAAAATGCACAATGGAATGAGGAGTCCCCCATCCTGCCTGGGCACTGTGACTCAGAAGAATAAATCTTGTTGGGGTTTCCAGGAAACAGTCCATGGTTGAAAAATCAAAGGCAATGAAGGAAAAGGAACTCACCATCATCACTCTTTCCGAAGAACTTCCAGATCTTCTCAGCTCGCTTTTCTGGTGTGTTTTCATCATCTGGAAGGAGCTTCACATCCTCAGGAGTGATCATTTTAAAAATAGCCTGTACCGAACCGAAACAAAGAACTCGTTAGGCAGAACTCCAAGAGGCTGGCAACCCCTGAAAATCCACGTCTTACACCGTACACAAAAATCTACTTAAAATGGATTAAAGACTTAAACATAAGACCTCAGACCGTCAAACTGCTAGAGGAAAACATAGGAGAAAAGCTTCTTGACATCGGTCTTGATGGTGACTTTTCGGATATGACACCAGAAGTGCAGGCAACATAAACCAAAATGAACAAGCGGGATGACAGCAGACTAAAGAGCTTCTCCATGTGAGAGGAAACGATGAATATAAAATCAAAAGGCAACTTACAGAATGGGAGAAAAAATTTGCAAACCATGTATCTTATGAGGGGTTAATATAAAAAATATATAAAGGGCCAGGTGCCGTGGCTGATGCCTGGAATCCCAGCACTTTGGAAGGACGAGGCAGGAGGATCACTTGAGGCCAGAAATTTGAGACCAGTCTGGACAACAAAGTGAGACTCCAACTCTACAAAAGAAAATTAATTAGCGGAGGTGGCGAGACATGCCTGTAGTCCCAGCTACTCGGGAGGTTGAGGATCACTTGAGCCCAGGAGGTCTAGGCTGCAGTGATCCATTTTTGCACCTCTGCACTTCAGCCTAGGTGACAGAGCAAGACCCTGTCTCTATCTATACATCTATATAGAGAGATATATAGAGAAATACACACACACACACACACACACACACACACACACACGGAACTCCTACAACTCAATAGCAAAAGAACAACTAACACAATTGAAAAATGGGCAAAGGAGGCCAGGTGTGGTGGCTCACGTCCATAATCCCAGCACTTTGGAAGGCCAAGGCGGTGGATCACCTGAGGTCAGGAGTTCAAGACCAGCCTGGCTAACATGGTGACATGCCATCTCTACTAAAGACACAAATTTAGCCAGGTATGATGGTGTGTGTCTGTAGTCCCAGCTACTCAGAAGGCTGAGGCAGGAGAATCACTTGAAACCGGGAGGCGAAGGTTGCAGTGAGCCAAGATCACACCATTGCACCAGCCTGCATGACAGAGTAAAACTCTGTCTGAAAAAAAAAAAAAAAAAAAAAAAAAAAAAAAAAAAAAAAAAGAAAGAAAGAAAGAAAGAAAATGGGCAAAGGACCCAAATAGACATTTCTCTTCAGAAGATGTGCAAGTGGCCAGCAGGTATTTAAAAACATCACTGATCACCAGGGAAATATAAATCCATACCGCAATGAGATATCACCTCACACCTGTTAGAATGGCTGTTATAAAAAAGACAAGAAATAACAGGCATTGGCAAGGATGTGACAAGGGAACCCTGGTCCACTGTTGCTGGGAATGTAAAATAGTACAACCATTATGAAAGACACATCAGGGACTGTGGGTCACCTCCATCAAGCTGTCCCTCTCTCAGTGCCCCACCAGCCTGCAGGAGCAGACAGCAGTTATAATACAGATGTACAGACCCCCACATGATCTACAAAATCAAAATTCCTGGGGGTGGGACCTGGGCATCTGTATTTTTGAGGTCTTCATGAAGGGCAGGGAATTTGGGGAAAAGGCCAAGAAGCGTTTCACTTCTTATTTTGTACCTTTCTGTACTGTTAGATTTTCTGGCCATGTAGACATATTAATTTCACTTATTTTAAAAAATGAAAATAAGAAAGAGAAAGCTTCCTGATGAAAATGTTACAGCAGCCCTGAGGTTGGATTTTGGGAATCACTACCTCAGACCCTACTCCCCAGAGGTTTTAGAATGGTAAACCTCTTCTTCTGGGTTCATAAGTCAGTAGGACTGGCTTATGGCAATAATGGCTAACATTTGTTGAGTGCTTAATAGGTGTCACTCTTTTTTTTTTTTTCTCATTTCTTTTCTTCTCTGTCTTCTTTTGTTTGTTTGTTTGTTGTTGTTGTTGTTTTTGAGACAGAGTCTTGCTCTGTTGCCTAGGCTGGAGTACAGTGGTGCAATCATGGCTCACTGCAGCCTTCATGTGCTGGGCTCAAGCAATCCTCCCACCTCAGTCTTCTGAGTATCTGGGACTATGGGTGCACACCACCATGCTCAGCAAATTTTTTGAATTTTTTTTGTAGAGATGGGGTCTCACTGTGTTGCCCAGTCTGGTCTCAAACTCCTGAGCTCCTTTCACCTTGGCCTCCCAAAGTGCTTGGATTATAGGCATGGGCCACTATGCCTGGCCTAGGTGACACTTTTCTAAACATTTTTACGCCTCATCTTCACAATAATCTTATGAAGAAGGCTTTATTGGTCCCATTTTATGGAAGAAGAAATTGAGACAACTAACTTGCTGGAAGTCACCCAGCTAGAAGTAGAAGGGCAGAGATTTGAACCCAGGCATTTTAGTTCTGGAACTTGTATCCCCATGTTATGCCATAGCCCACTCACCCACTTATTACTGGAAGGGCCTGGAGAGCACTGGGCAAGCCTGGGAGAGGGAGAGGGAGGCATCAACGAGAACTTTTCAAAGGTCTTCCCATGGCACGGAAAGCACCTCATTTAACCTTCTGCTCAAGGAGGGATTCAGAGAAAGGCTTAGCTTTGGGCTCAAGGATCCCATCCTTCTCACCTTCCTCCCTTCTAATAAAGCAGCTGGGTGTGCAATGTAGGGGAAGCATGAAGTGCCCTCAGACCTGTGAGATCCAGGGACAAAGGGGCACCCTTCCAGCTCCAAGTTTCTAGGATTCCATTGGCTCAGGAACACCAGCGCCAGCCGGATCCAGAAGGGACACCCAAGGCAGTAGGTCCTTGGATGCTGAGGAGGGGCAGGTATGTCGGGTGGGAGTTGGGAGGTTACTGGCTCTGGCCAGAGCCCTTTGTCTCCCTGCAGACATCTGAGCAGATCAGGCAGGGGCAATAATGGCTGTGAAATTATCCTGGAGGGAAGGTTGATGCCTTTGAAAAGTTCCCCTTCAGGCCCCTGGTGCTGGAAAAAGGAGCAGAGAGACCAAAGCCAGCAGCCCAGGGCAGCAGCCTCACTGGCAGCACCCAGAGCCCTGAGGAGGACGCAAGGGTAGGTGGCTCCCACACTCCCCTTGGTCCGTGCAGGGCCTGGGGCACCATGCGCAGGTGTGCCGGCTGAAGCTGGGAGTGACTGCCTGCCCACCCCACTTCCAACATGGAGGGACAGACCTTCAGGGTCTCGGAAAAGACTGCAAAAATAATCAAATCCTCACCCTGGGTCCAGGAAGGGGATATGGTTTTCCCACAGCAACACAGCTAGTTAGAGTCAGAGCTGAGGCTAGAATCCCTCCCTTGTGACTCCCCCAGTGAGTGCTCTGTCCATGAACTTGTAATCTGGCAAACAGCAGAGCCTTCTGTCACCTTGCACAGCCTCAGCCACTGATGGCTTCTCCCTCCCTCCCTTTCCTTTCATCTTTCTTCCTTTCTCTCCTCCTTTCCTTCTCCTCCCTCCCCTCCGTCTTTCCTCCCCCTTGCTTCCCTCTCTTTCCTTCCTGACTCCTACCCCTTCTCTTTCTCTCCCTCGTTTTCCCCTCCTCCCTTTCCTCATCCTTTTCTTCAAGGAGTATCCATTTGTAGGCTTCTGCTAGGCCCCGCATTATTTATGCAGCTCTGAAGACTTAGTCCCTGTCCCAGGCCACCCAGAGACCTCACAGCCAATCCTGGGGAGCTTCCTCTGCAGGCTGTGCCGAGATAGCAATGAGGGTGACACACACCTGCTGGGACAGGAGACCTGAGCCGAGCACTGAGCATAAACCCATGGACCACAAGCTGTATGCTTTGCTGTTTTATTTATGGTTTCTCCTAATAAGAGCAGAAGATTTTCGTGCATTTGCAGTCATGCAAATGAAAGCATGATTACAAATGCACAAAACAGTCTCTCTACTAACAGACAGGGAATCAGAACAATAAACCAAGTGGCAGGGGCAGCAGAACTGAAAAAGTGAAAAATATCAAATGAAGGAAATGAGAGCTGGTATAATAGGAAAGAAATAGAAACACTCTAATGTCCAAAAACATAGGAATGTTAAATAATTTCCACATTTCCATAAGCTAGAACTCCAAGCAGCTATTAAAAGCGTTCTGGAAGAGGTTGGGTGCGGAGCCTTACGCCTATAATCACGGCACTTTGGGAGACTGAGGTGGGTGGATTATATGAGGTCAGGCATTCGAGACCAGCCTGGCCAACATGGCGAAAACCCGTCTCTACTGAAAATACAGAAATTAGCTGGGTGTGGTGCCAGGTGCCTGTAATCCCAGCTGCTCAGGAGGCTGAGGCAGGATGCGAGAATTGCTTGAACCTGGGAGGCAGAGGCTGCAGTGAGCTGCGATCATGCCATTGCACTCCAGCCTGGGCACCAAGAGCAGAACTCCACCTGAAGAAAAAAGAAGTGTTTTAGAAGAATATGTAATGATATGAAAAGCACTCATGATCAAAGAAAATGCATGATAAAATCATATGTGAATATGTCATAGCTTTAATATTGTTTAAAATTATACAGGTAAAAGACTGAAAAGTTATCTACTGATAGAGCAAGAAAAGTTTTCCCTGGATATTGGAATTAGAGGCAATTTTTAGTCTCTTTGCCCATGCTTCTAAATGTCATCAGTTACTTCTATTAGATAAACCATTTTCAAGACACTTATTAGGTTAGTGCAAAGTAATGGTTTTTGCCATGACTTTCACAACAAAGGATCTCACACGAGGACAGTATGGACAGAGGAGAAGGTGTGCTGGGAACCATGTGGAAGCGTGTGTGCCTCACAGGGAACCTGCCAGGAGCCAAGGAGCCACGCCGCGTGTGGGAAGCAGGGGCTTATGGGTGTTGCGGCGACCCACCTGGCGCTGGGGAGAATCTTAAGACTAGAACTCAGAGTTTATTCAACTTTGACCTGTTTCTACTTTAGATTTGAAGCATATTGTATGTTTAAAATTAATCGTTGATTGAACTTGAATGTGTACTGCTGAAAATTTTAAAGGACTTTTTTGTTTGAGATGGAGTTTTGTTCTTGTTGCCCAGGCTGGAGTGCAATGGCACAATCTCAGCTCACCACAACCTCTGCCTCTTGGGTTCAAGCGATTCTCCTGCCTCAGCCTCCCGAGTAGCTGAGATTACAGGCATGTGCCACCACACCTGGCTAATCTTGTATTTTTAGTAGAGATGGGGTCTTTCCATGTTGGTCAGGCTAGTCTCAAACTCCTGACCTTAGGTGATCCACTTGCCTTGGCCTCCCAAAGTGCTAGGATTACAGGCATGAGCCACCTTGCCCAGGCTAAAGGACATTTTAATAAAGGAAGGACGAAAAAAAGGATGGAGAGAAAGAAAAAAAAATGTAAATATAGTCACGTGCCACTCAAAGACAGGAATATATCCTGAGAAACACATCATTAGGCAGTGTCCATGCGGGGACATCATACAGTGTCCTCACACAAACCCAGACAGTAGAGCCTACGACGCCCCCTGGCTCTGTGGTCCAGCCTTTTGCTCCTAAGCTACAAATCCATGCAGCATGTGGCTGTCCTGAATGCTGCAGGCAGTTGTTGCACGATGGTTAGTATTTGTGGATCTAAACGTATCTAAATATAGAAATCGTACAGTAAAAATACAGTATAAAGACTAGGGCACTTACCTTGAGGGGAGCTTGCAGGATTGGGAGTTGATCTGGGTGAGTCAGTGAGTGGGGAGTGCATGTGAATACCCAGGACATTACTGTACTCTACTGCAGACTCTCTAGATGCTCTACACTTAGGCTACGCTAAATGCATTTGAAAAATCAAGGAACTTTGCTATGATGTCACTAGACAATAGGAATTTTTCAGCTCCATTACAATCTTATGGAACCACAATGGTATATACGGTCCATTGTTGACCAGAACATGGCTAAGCCACACATCACATGACTATATTAGAAAACACTCAGATTCTTCTTCAGGAAGAAAATGAAGCTGTGGGCAAGTGCCCACCCCTCTTACCAATATCAGCATCTTGGAGCACCCCTCTCTCAGACCCAGTGTGGCCTGAATCCCCACTCCACCCACAGCTCTACTCCCTCTGCAGCAGCCGCAGCAGGGGACCCCCCCCCCCAGCCCCGAGTGACCCCGGCACCGCCCAGCCACAAGGGAAGAGGGAACACTGACTATGACGATCTCTAGCACTTCACTCTTGCTGATGGTCCCGTTGCCATCCACGTCGTAGAGGGAGAAGGCCCATTCCAACTTCTGGTTGGTCTTGCCCGCGCTGGTCATATGCAGGGCGATGACGTACTCCTTGAAGTCCAGGGTGCCGTCGAGGTTGGAATCGAAGCTGCGGAACACATGCTGGGCGTAGGCCTTGGGGTCAGCGTCGGGGAAGAACTTGGCGTAGATGCTCTGGAACTGCTGCTGGGTGATGCGGCCGCTGGGGCAGTCTCTCAGGAAGGACTGGTACCAGGTGCACAGCTCCTCCTCCGAGAACTTGGTGTTCAGCCGCAGCTCCTCCAGGATCTCCTTGGACAGGGCCCCACTTTTGCTGTTCCCCATGGGTGAGGAAGAGTGGGCAGCAGCTGGGGAGTCACTGGGTGGGTGGGACGTGTGTGGTGCCCTGGCTGCAGGCTGGGGCTCAGGGCTGCTGTGAGCTGAAGACGGAGATGCTGGTGGCTTAGGAGGATTTGAGACCAGTTCTTCCCAATCCTTGAAGGGAGGAGGGGCCCTCCCCTTCTCAGGAGCTTTGTGGAGGTAGTGGTGGTGGGGAGGGTGGCGGGGGCGGGATGCTCCCAGAACCCTACTGAGATTAAAGCAAAGAGCCCAGGGCAGGCAGGCAATTCATCTCAGCCTCCTGGAAGGATACTAGAACAAAACAGGAGGTTGGAACCTTCAGAGCTGGGAGCTCTTGTACCACTAGCTCCAGCCCTCTAAGGCAACCACGTGGTCTGTTTCTCTTCTTTACTAACTCTGAATGTCTCAGGGAGGGCTGGCATCTCCCACTGAGCTCCAGAATTCAGTTGTTAAGAGCACAGGCTCTGGAGCCAACATGGGTTCAAATCCCAGCTTGGCTACTTAACTAGCTATGTGACCCCAGGCATGTTTCCTGATCTCTTTCCACCTGGGGCAATCTTCTAATCCTTCACGGCAGTCACGTTTCTGCTTAAATGTCACCTTCCTGGCTAGGCCTATGTATACTGACCCTCTATCTATAACAGCACACCATCATCGGCATGCCCCACGTCCCCTCACCGGAATGAAAGCTCCGGGAAGACGGGATTTTGTCTGCGTTGTTCCCAGATGCATTTGCATTGCCAGAACAGCGCCTGACAAGCTTGGGCCCCCAGTCAGTCCTTCTTGAATAAATGGGCATCATAGCATCTACCTCACCATCATGGTGGGGCTGAAGTGAGTCAATACGTGTGACACACTTAGAATAGAACCTGGCACGCAGCTAATGCTAAACACTTACTCGTTTTCTTGCTGTTCACCGGTCACAGGGAATGAAGGTATTCTCCCTGTGGTGGGTGGCCAGCAGGTGGGACAGCAGGGAACAGCCAGGTCCGTGTCACCTAGGGAAGGGGCTGCCAGCAAATGTGGTCCCGTGGAATCATGAAAAAAAAATTTTTTTTTAAATAATTCAAGAGAAATCCAGAAATCAGAATTTTAGATGCAATTTGCACACTTTTCAACTTTGGCCATTGATTGGAAATTTTCAAAAACACGGTGTGGGCCAAACACAATCTATCTGTGGCTCCATGCCCGTCTGCAGCGGAGCACAGTGCTGGGAGTGAGCAGGCAGGAAAATGTGTTTGCTGAGTGAATGAGTAAATCCCTGAGTGGCCCGAGACAGGGAGGTGTGTGAGGCTTCGCATCCCAGGGGGAGTACCGAGCGCGGGGAAGCACCCTAGTGAGGATGCTGCACACCTGGATTCTTGTCGTCCAGAGGGAAGCATAGCATAGCATTCTTGTCATCCAAAGGGCGTGCACTTTGCTTAGCAGAGAGCAATACTTTGCAGGGGGTAAGGGAATGAGGGGGTGGGGACACACTCAGAACCCCAGCCTTGCCACTGTGGATGGAGAGTTGTCTCTTTTTGCCCTGGGGTGAAAATCATGAAGAATAAACCCTGCAGTCTCCAGGCAGGTAAAGTGTATTTTTTTTTTTTTTTTTTTTTTAGATGGAGTCTCCCTCCATTTTTTAGGCTGGAGTGCAGTGGTACGATCTCGGTTCACTGCAACCTCTGCCTCCTGGGTTCAAACAATTCTCCTGTCTCAGCCCCCGGAGAAGCTGGGACTACAGATGTCTGCCACCATGCTCAGCTAAGTTTTTTCTTTTTTTCCTTTTTTCTTTTTTTTAGTAGAGTCGAGGTTTCACCATATTGGTCAGGCTGGTCTCGAACTCCTGACCTCAGATGATCCCCCTGCCTTGAATCTCAAGGTGTAAAGTGAGGTTTTTAGCCTACTTCCTAAGAGCCTAGTGGCAGCGGAAGGTAGGTCCTTGCTGCTGGGAGAAGGCCACCTGCCAGACCCTTCCTGATGTCGCTCAGGAAGGAGTGAGAGGTTCGGGCACCGAGGTGCTGACTCATCCCTCCCAGCCACCCTGCTCACTGCAATTTCAGAAGTTTCTCAAGAAACTTGAATGTTGGGGGGTGTGTGTGTGTGTGTGTGTGAACTTTCTAATTTTCCCCATCACTTTGTGAGAGAATATAATTTCTTAACAGGACTCCTTTCTCTCCTAGGCTTTCACCATCCTGCAGTGTCCATTTATTCTCAAGAGCAGTTAGAAATAGGACGGTCACCAATCTTGAAAACAAATGAACCAAGCGAGCCCAAGCCACACCTTGGAATCGCATTCACTTCCAGAGCTTCCTTGCAGCCCTGAGGCAGTTCTGGGGATGGAGGGAGTGTGAGGCCAGAGGCCTCGGCCCTTTGCTTGGAGCTGCGAGTGGGAGGCCACGGGAAGTGCTTCCTGGATCACACTCTTGTCCGCATCAAGCCTGCAGATGGCCAGGCCAGTGTGACAGGTGAGACGTGGATGTTCCTAAAGGCATGTCGCCAGTCCGGGGTCACATGTTGCTAAATGGGGATGCCAGGAGGAAGGAAAGCCCAGGCCTGCCACCTGTCTGGCTAGATTGTTGTCTAGAAACAGGACGGGCAAAATCAAACGGCACACATAGCCTGCAGCCCTCAGTTTGAGACCCCGAACAAACTGACAGATCCCAGTTCCTTTTAGGTGGCTAGCTCACCTTTTAGGGCAAGGCAAGAAACTGCACGCTTCCTGGTGACACCGGCCATTTCTTGTCTGACTTTACATCAGAAGCCATAGGCACATGAATGAATGGGCGACTGGATGGGTCCCAGACGTTCCTTGAGTCTTTGTTTTCACATTGCATGATGAAGACTGTAGGAGTCTAGGCCTGCACTGTCCAACACTGTTGAGGCTTCCTTTGTCCAGACCACAGGAGGCCTGAGCCTAGAGGACAAGGGGGTGAGGAGCTGGGGTTGCCATGGCAATGAAAGAGGCCCCCGGGCGAGGCAGAAGGCAGCCAGGGGCTGCCAGTCTTTGCTGTTCTCTCCGGCCAGCCGGGCACAGGAGGAAGGAGCTGGACCCAGGTCGGAAGCAGCCTGGTACAGTCCACATTCCCCAGGTTGCTGTGCCCAGGAGGGGCCCCAGGAGACCGCAGGCAGCTGTGTTGATGCTGAGAGTGAGGGGTCATAACCTAGAGGTTTGTTTGAAAACCTGCATAAACATCTTCTATCAGAGGGAAAGCTTATGCTCCTTAGCCAAACAAGTTGTTGGAGATGATGTATTGTGAGTGGATTTGTTAAGTCTGAGCTGAGGCCATAAACTCTCCCAAACTCCAAAGACTGCTCTTGAGAAGGCTTCCTCCCCAGGCAGATGATCCCAGTTCGCGTCCTCGCTTTGCCTGGACTGAAAGATGCTTCCCAGAAGCTGGCCATGTCCCCTCAAGCAGGAGTTTCATCTTGGTCATTAGCTGGGACCCAGACACCACCCCTTCCCCATTGCTCAACCTTGCCGGGTATGAGCTGAGGGCCAAGGTGACCCTCCTGCCCTCTGGCGTGGTACCAGCACCTACAGGGAAGCCTGCATCGAGAGGGAAAAGGGGGTATGGAAAAGGTGGCAGGGGAGAAAGAGAATGGGGAAAGACCCTCCTCCCTCAGCTGTCCCCACTGCAGAAAACGACAATCTGTCCTCTAGATGACTTGGACGGAGGCCCTTGGTGTCATTCATAGTGTTCCTCTTTTGGTCACCACCCACCCCAGTCTCTCAAGAAACCATCTTGACTCTACCTTCAAGGTGCATCCAGAATCGAACTGTTCTTCCCGCCTCCCTTGCACCGGCCTCATCTGCCTCCTGACAGTTCCTCCTGCTTCTGCTCTTGTCTCCTCACAGCCCCGCAATGAGCCCCATAGCCACAAAATCAGGTCACACACGATGGCCGCCCACTTCCCCCAGTCAAAGCCAAAAGCCTGCAACAGGCAGCACTGGCCCTCATCCCACCTTGTCTCACAGGTGCCAAGGAGGGATGAAACAGGGCGGGTGCCCTTTGTCTCCTTAAGTCATCAGAGGTAAAACCACCAATCCCGAGAGCCTGGAAGGAATGCTGAGACAGGTCATGTGAAGAAGGTGGCAGCCCTCCAGGAAAGAGGGTCGCCCAGTGTCCTCATCTGCTGTCCCCTCCTCCCTCTCTCCACTCCAGCCAGGCTGGGCTGGCCGCAGACATGTGGGCATCTCCCCTCTGCTTAGGACATTTTCCTCCTGTGACTTTCCAGGGTCCCTCCCAGGTCTTTTTGTCTCTGATCAAATGCCACCTTCTCAAGGGTATCCCCTCTGCTTGGAACATTTGATTTCAGTGACCTTCCAGGTTCCCTCCCGTATCTCCTTATCTCTGATCAAATGCCACCGTCTCAATGATGCCACTCCAATGACCCTATTGAATATTGCAACGTACTCACCCTCACTCTGCCGTTTTTCTTTTTCACAACACTTAACACCGTCCACACCCATACCACAGAACGTAGTTCCTGAGTCCATTGTTTTTGTCTGCTAGAATGTGAGCTCCCTGAGAGCAGGACTCTGTTTCGCCCACTGATGTGTTCCCAGGACTTAGAGCAGTGTCCAGCATACGCTGGATGCTCAGTAATTGACTGAATAAATGAATGGATGGGGCCAGATGAGGTGGTTCATGCCTGTAATTCCAGCACTTTGGGAGGCAGAGGAGGACGGATCACCTGAGGTCAGGAGTTCGAGACCAGCCTGGACAACATGGTGAAATCCTGTCTTTACTAAAAATATACAAATTAGCTGGGCAAGGTGGTGCATGCCTGTGATCCCAGCTACTCAGGAGGCTGAGGCAAAAGAATCGCCTGAACCCAGGAGGTGGAGGTTGCTGTGAGATGAGATGGTGCCACCGCACACCAGCCTGAGCGACAGAGATTCTCAAAATTAAAAAAAAAAAAAAAAAAAATATATATATATATATATATATATACACACACACACACACATATATGCGCATATATATGTAAATGAACGAATGGTGGGGATGAGAAAAGAAACAACCAGTAGCCCCAGAGACAGGAGGGAGGCAGAGGGCTGGAACCCACAGAGACAGGAAGTCCCCAGGGGGAGGGGTCTGAGGCCAGGAGCATAGCATCCATCTCGGCGCCAGTGTCCAGGTGCCCTTTGCCTCCCACTAAGTCATCAGAGGTGAAATCATCACCAATCCCGAGAGCCTGGGAGGAATGCTGAGACAGGTCACACGGAGAATGTGGCAACCCTCCAGGAAAGAGGGTCGTCCAGGGGAACCCAGTGTCTCTGGATAGTTTATTTTACATGGGATGAATCTAAGCATCTCAAGTGTACACACAGAGCCAAAGGAAAAAACGACATGGGATTTAACTTCCTGAAAACTCTTTATAATAATGCAGGACAATTATATATAGCAAACGCCTTCAAAATTTAAACTCTTTAAACATTTAATTCTTCAGCATTAA